GGACTATAATTGCTATCTCAAGAAAAAAATGTTAAAATATGCATGGGTCAAATAATAAGACATTATTATGTACAACAGTTGCTTTAAACAGACTATTCAAAATGTTCCAATTTCAGAAGTTTGTTAAAAGTACAGTCAAATGAAAGTACCTAGTTCTGTGGGAAATTCTACTTTACATTACAAACTGGTCTGCTGCAGCTTCAGAAACACCAAGTGATTACAGGATGATAAAATTTCCATTAGCAATCAAATGTAGCAATTGAAACAAAAGGATCCAAAGGAATGACATAAAAGATACTTTATGATAGGCATGATCCATTCAAGAAGACACTGTCACCAAGGTGTGGGAAAAAATGGTTCATCAGTGAAAGATGTTAACTACTAAAGTTAATGATAAAAGGTCTTAAGCACAGGAAATACAAAGAGCTACTGGGAACAGATGAATGAGTACAAAAGGGCAAATGTACCTCCTGGAAAGTACTAAAAATGTCCCCTTTGCATACCACAGACAGGTGTCTACTTATCAAATAGAAAACCATTTTTGACTTTCACATCATGTAGCACAAATCACCACATGTTAACGATTTTCAAACAGAGAATAGGTATCTTTCTTCCTTCCTCTTTTTTATTAACAGTGGCTCCCAGCAAGCATCTGTAGTTAGGAAACTTAACTTTCCCAAACTTTAACTATCTGCCCTTTAATTTTGGGTAAGTCCACAGGAAAAGTCTAGAGTTAAGGCATCTCAGTCTGATCTCAGTGCTAGATTCAGGTGTGCTGACTGAAAGCATTTGACCACTGTGCACTTCAACCCTTGGACTTATTGCCAACCCAAAGGCTGATTCAGCCATCTCCCATGACTCATTAAGGCTGACAGAATGAAGTCCTAAAACACTGTCTTGATATTCAAAGTCCTGGGTGGCGGGGATTGTGTGTTCTGTGATTCAACTTTACAAACAAATTCACCCCAACATGCCTACTATCAAGCTACTATCTCACTTGTCACATCCTTTCCTGGTTCCATCATGGCAAAAACATTCTAAGGAGAGAAATATATCAGACCTGTCCTGAGATAGAGGTGCTGATAAAAGGAATGCAACAGATATATAATATGGAAAATATTCTGCTGCTTTGGCTCCACTGCTAAACTCCAAAGAAATTCTGGGAAATCCATAAACACCTAAAAAAAACCAAAACAAAACAAAACAAAAAAAACCCTGGGCCTCCCCTGGTGGCGCAGGGGTTGAGCGCTCGGCTGCAAAACTGCCCACAACCTCTGCTGCACCAGTTTGATTCCCGGCCACAGGCAAGGGTCCCACATGGCGCGGCAGACCTCTCCTACCACGCCTGCTGCTCCCCTCAGCAGTGTATTTCGTCAGTCTGACTGTTCTGTTCCCCACTCTGGTGAATTCTCTCACCCTCCCACACTTCTGACTGTACCCAGTGCTTGTAAATAAATAAATAAATCTTTAAAAAAAAAAAACACCCTTTATTTGTTGCCTGATTGGGCTGATTAAGGACAGACTGATCAAGGATGACTGCAAGCTGCCAATTAATCAGTTTACTCTTTACTCTGTAAATGTGTAATAACACTCACTGTCTTTTCTCTGCAATGTTTTATCCTTCACTAGAGAAGGACAATTTCACAGGGCATAGAATTCTAGGTTAGTGTATTTTTTCTTGTCTCACTACCATAAAGGTTTCATTCTATTCTCTTTTAGCATGGCTTCTAAGGAAAAGTCAGATGTAATTCTTATCTTTGTTCTACTACAAGTAGGTTTTTTTTTTTTCTTAGAATTCGCTCATGATTTTTTTATCTTCGATTTTTTTGCAATTTGAATATAATATGCCTAGGTATAAAGTCCTATGGTATTATCCTGCAGAGTATGCTCTGAGCTTCCTGAATCTGTAGTTTGATGTCTGACATTAATTTGAGGGAATTCTCAGCTATTTTTATATCAAATGAATTGTTTAAGGGGGGGATTTTGGGGAAATAAAATTTGTTACAAACACCATTGTTGAGCAACTTCAAAGCACTAATGAAAACAATTTTTGTGGTGCTCTAGCCTGTTTCATATTTTAGTATGTATCAGAATCACATGGAGGGTATACTAAAACACAGATTGCTGGGTCTCACCCTCAGAGTTTCTCAATTAATAGGTCTGGGTTGTGGCCTATCTCTGTGCCTTCCACAATACCAATGCGCCAACCTGTAAGTGTGGTCGGACTTTGCCCATGGAGTAGCGTAAACATCTAGGGCAATGAGTGTGATTTTTTTTCTCAACCCAAGGAAAGCAAAGTAACATCCTAAACAGAGGAGCTTCGCCTTGTGAACCTCCACAGTTATCAACCACACCAACCTATATTCAGGTACACACTGACAAGCAAAGAGCCTCATTCAACTTCAACCATTCAACCTGACTCCCACATTTGTACCAGAAGGTACAAACTGGTAAGCCAATATAGTAAATTATCTGGAAAAGGGTAGAAAAATGCGTAAGAATTGAATGTGACTCTTTATTTAGCCATTCCCCCCCTAAAAAAAAGTATACCTTATTGTCCAGGCACAGTTCTAGGCTCTGAGAATACAGCAGTGAATAAAACAGGCAAGACATTTTCAGGTGAGAAGTTCACATTCTACTAGAGAAAACAGACTAGATAGCTATACTAGTCTTTATTTTTTTTTTGTTGTTTTTTTTTTAAGATTTATTTTTTTAAATTTTTATTTATTTATTTTATTTATTTATACAAGCACTGGGTATAGTCAGAAGTGCGGGAGGGTGAGAGAATTCACCAGAGCCAGAGCAGGGAGCAGAGCAGGCAGAAGGACCGAAGTACACTGCTGAGGGGAGCAGCGGGCGGCAGGAGAGGTCTGCGTGCCATGTGGGACCCTCCTCTGGTGGCCACGGAGCAGCCAGGGATGGAACCTGCACTGCAGAGGCTGCTGGCAGCTTCGCAACCCAGCGCTCACCTGCTGAGCCACAGGGGAGGCCCCCTATACTAGTCTTTAAAAGTACTGTTGAGAAAAGAGAGCAAGAAAGAATACTGAAGGGTATACTATTTCTGAGAGGATATTGTGCAGCTTTTCAGCAAGATGACATTTGAGCAGGGACTTGAGTGAAATGGAAAAGGGAATTATAAAGATTTCCAGGGAAGTAATGTCCCAAACAGAGGGAACAGGAAGTGCGATGGCTTTGTAAAGGAGTAGGATTCAGTGTTAAAAAACAGAAAAGGAGGCCTCCCCTGGTGGTGCAGGTTGAGAGATGGGATGGGAAGCTGCCCGCAGCCTCTGCAGTACTGCCTGGATGCCTGGCCACCAGCAAGGGTCCCACGTGGTACGCAGACCGCTCCTGCAGCCCGCTGCTCCCCTCAGCAGTGTACTTCGTTCCTTCTGCCTGTTCTGTTCCCAGCTCTGGTAAATTCTCTCACCCTCCAGCGCTTCTGACTATACCCAGTGCTTGTATAAATAAATGAATAAATCTTGAAAAAAAAAAAAAAACAGAAAAGGGCCCAGTACCTATAATGCATACACTAAAAAGTGCAGCAAACTCTGAAATTAACTTGCAACAGAACATTCTGTTAGTAAATACAGAATCATAACTTTTTAACAAATAAACATTAATTTCTATATACATATTTTATAACACTTTGGTTAAAGGGTACTTTGCTAATCAAGTCAATTACTTGTATCTTGTTTTTTACATTGTTGAATGGGTCAAACATATTTTTTTAAAGATTTATTTATACAAAAACCGGGGTACAGGTCAAATGTGTGGGAGGGTGAGAGGATTCACCAGAGACAGAGTGGGAACAGAAGAGGCAGACTGACTGAAATACACTGCTAAGGGGAGCAGTGGGCGGGATGGGAGAGGTCTGCTGGGCCATGTGGGTTTCTCCCCAGCTGGCTGGGATTGAACCTGTGCTCCAGAGGCTGCAGACAGCTTTATAGTGCAGTGCTCAGCCGCCTGCACCACCAGGGAGGCCCCAAATATGTTTTTATAAGATACGGATCTTGTTAAACTGCAGTTTCCAGTCAAACTATGACTGATACTATCAGCATGTCAATTAGAAGGTAACAAACTATTTGGTTTATTGCTCTCTTATACCAATATATAAATATATCTCTTCCAATCTTGATATCATTCTGTTTGCTAAAGATTTGCTAAAATAATGCCTTCAAGTTAAGAGCAACTGTAACTGAAAGTCCCATTTTAAATCACATTCTCAATCTTCTTACTTGTAAAGTTTAGACTAGATGATGATAGCTCAGTATTAAAGTAAACTTAATTATTATAACACTACCCATTCTGAACAACAACAAATTCGGATTTACTTGAATTGAAGCCAAAGACACAACCAAGATGAACCTGTCCTTCTCATTACAATCAATGCTTATATGTTTATGACTAAGAAAACAATACATAACTATACTAGCTAATTGAAACACCTTCTGAACGAGTTTAAAGTTCTTAGGGCAGAAATTTATAAAGCCTCATTCCTCAAGACAGAACCAGGGAGTGCTGCCTGAACACTGAGGCAGGTATACCTATAAATCACCACTTGTCTCAGTATAAGGATTTTACATCACCTACCTCCCCAAAACTCACAAAATATCATTGTATCACGTGATTTCCAACATGACTGTAACAACAAATTGTAAGATGTTTTCCAGTTATTTTCACTTGCTCTCAACTAATTATATACAAAGTTTGCACAGTGTCACCTAAATTTAATACTTTCTAGAGCTGAAAATACCAATAATGCTAAGCATTGTTCACTTATAGAACATCTCTACATAATTCTTATCATTTATTCTGCAAAACAAATTCTAGAAGTATCTTTTATTATTTCCATTTTACATGTAAGGAAACTTATCTTGTTTCAAGATGGTGATACCCTTTTGCAGAACAGAGAGTAATGCTGTCATCAAGTCTAGAATCCACGGTTCTTTCTACATTGTCACAATATAATTAGTGATAATTTAACAGAAAAAAATCCTCACCTTTGTAGTTTTTCCATATAACATGTCGGGCATTCTCATAATTTGTGTTCATCCAACTAAGTATAATCCTCTCAGAAGCAGAATAAATGTTGCTGGATAGAAAAGAAGGATTGACTTTTGGTGATTTCTGCACGTGTGTGTGAGGCAGATTACTGCTGGGATGTGGTGTAACTCGGGATAGTACCAGAACCTGAAATTGAGTAAAATAAAATTTTACTAGACCCGAATGGCAAAATAAGGCATATTTGAAGAGTAAGTGAAAAAATATGACAGCCAGATAAAGGGATCAGCATTTTCCAGTTAACTACATTCATTCAAAAGAACAGATCAGATGAACCCTTTATGCTCATTTTAAATTCCCAAATTTTGCTTCTGTACCATCTAGTCTACAAGGCACCAGCACATATTATTTACAAGAAGCAGCTTATTATTTAAATGTGCTGATCATGGATTTATAATGTGTGTGTGGATAGTGGTGTGATGTGGAGGGCTATTTCCTCACACTGATAACCGAATTGTCAGGCCTAGTCTCCCAGCCAGGAACAGATCCCAGGCTTCAGGACAGCGCCGAGCCCCAGCCACTAGACCCCCACGGGTTGGTGTCTCACGAAGCCGCAGCAGGAACTTCACAGACTCTCAGGCAAGCAAGTGAGAAGAGGCAGGTTTGTTTAGAGAAAGAAAAAGTTTATTGAGGAGAAAAGGAACAGAAATAAAGTGGGACTCCCAGGCCAGGAAACCAGGCCTGCGAGGGGCAAGGAAGCCAAAGTGGAGCCATGTCTCAGGGAATATATACCTTTTTCCCTCATTATTCTAAAACTCCACCAGTCTCTTTGTGATTGGTTAGTTCTCGGCTGTCTCACTTAATTTGTACTGAGTGGGGGATCTTCACATTCCTTATCTAACAGCTTTCTCTTTCCCCATTTGTTATTTCTTTATCTTTATGGCCCAATCCTCTGGATGGGCATCCTGCATTGAAGTTAAACAGCTGCCCTTTTAAGTTGTCCATAAATTAAACCACTCTCCATTTCTCCAATCTCTGCCTCCCTTTATCACTTGAAGGAAACCAAGGCCAGCATTAACAATGTTGTCCTTGGTCCTGGGATGTTTGTTTTTCCAGGTGGAATTAGTTACACTCCTCTTGCTGCCCTTATCTCTGAAGCCTTCCTCAATTCTCGAGGTCCCCTTCTGCAATTTCCCTAAAACTGCCTACTTCCTAGCTTGCCCTGTGTCTCAACACCATCGAGAAGTTCTCTGACACCAGCTTGGTGTCCTACAGTTCAACTGAATTCTTATACTATCTACCCAGAAACAGCATCAGACTCCATAGATTAAACCCTCAGTATCGTTGTCAATTGTGAGCCCAGGTTGGCAAGTGTGATTCTGACCCACTAAATATGAATCAGTCTCACACAAACCCCAACTTAGATTCAGTTAATTTATAAGAGCAGCTCACAGAATTCAGGAAACCCACTGACACACTAGATTACCGGTTTATTTCAATGGAAATTAAAAAATGTGAATCAACAGCTAGATGAAGTGATCCACAGGGTGAAGTACCAAGCAAATGAACTTCTGTCACATCAGTTTGTAGAAACTTTCTGGTTCCCCAATCTGGAAACTCCCTGAAGGTGCTCCTCTTTGGATTTTTATGGAAGCTTCATAACACGGTCAAGACTGATTAAATCACTGGCCACTGGTGAGTGGGTGAGTGACTCAACTTCCAGCCCTATTCCCCCTCCCCCCCTCAAAAGGGTGGAGTTGAAACTTCTAGCCCTCTATTGATTGAAGTTTGGTTCCCCAGTCAAACAGTTCCCTCCTTAAGTGCCTTCCAAAAGTCACTTCATTAACATAAACCTATCAGAGGTAGAAAAAAGGCATCTTATGAATAGCTAGAAAACAATTCCATCTTTATGACTCTGAAGTAATTTAAGGAACTGAAGACAGAAAACCAAATATTATAACAAAAGACGTTCTCATTGCTCTTATAGCTGAGGAAATTCCAAGTGTCTAGGGAGCTATGAGCCAGGAATCATGAGCTAAGACCAAATACATATGAAATATATATTTTGCTCATCTGAAGAACCAAGTAAACATTTCTTACAAATCACAACATTCAGTTACCTAATTAAAAAATAACTTATTTGAGGGCAGTTTTGTTTGATTTCCATTTCATTAAAAACACAAAAACTTGAAATGTCTTTGACAGTTTGTGTAACTTAGAAAAGTAAAATTTCAAAAACTCAAAAATTAAGTTATCAAATTGTTACCGAACACCGGCCTCAGTTTCCCTCAGCCAATAAAAGGAAACTAAGTTTGAGGAAAAGGAAAGCTGTTTTATTTGTCGACAAATGAGGAGGGAGGCAGACTCATGTCCAAAAAACCACCGTCCTCCTCTTTGGCAGTGGGCAGGGGTATTTATTCAGGGGGAGATGGGTAGGCATCCGCGAAGGGGAGGGGGAAGGGGTCCGCACAGAGACAAGTGGGCGCCAGCTCAACAGGGAGATGGATGGGTGTCAGCTCATTCATCTTAAGGGAAGGGGAAGGTGTCAAGGCACAGAGACAGGTGATCACCAACTTGTTTTCCTTAGGGCGAGGGGGAAGGGTCTACAGGGAAACCAGTGGGCGCCAGCTTTTTTTTTTTCTTCCCAAGGGGAGGGGAAGCTGCAACAAATGGGAAAGACAAGTCATCAATCCTGTTAATGCTAGATAAGGGGAATTGCAAAAAATGGGGGAAAGACAAACTTGTTAACTGTATCATAATCACAAGTAAATTTGAGATTGATATTTACTAAAGAGGTCTATTTTTGAACTAATAAAAGTATATACAATTTTGCAATTTGGAACATTTTATACTATATCATAAAATTTGGCATCATTGTATTAGAGCACCAGTCACTATGTTAGGGGGAAAAGGATGTCCTAAAGCTAATTCCATACAGGCTTTGTGGACTCCACCCGCCCCCTCCAGGCCAAAGCCAAAGACACTGGGAACTCCAAATCCCATCACCACCAAAGGGAAGGTGGCTGGGACCTGAGGGTGGGGTTAAGCAGCCAGGTTGGTATAAAGCCAGACACGTGGGCTTTGGAGGGTCCCCCATTTTGACTCTCCACCAGCTCGCAGCGTCCGGCCAGCCTGGAGAGTGCCTTTGGGTTTCCAGGTCGGCGGATCGGGTAGGACGCATTAAAGACTTTATTTCCCTATTTTCTCCCTGAGTTGTACATTTTCCTTATTTCCTTTTCCCTTGTAAATAAACCTTTTATGAACCTTTTGTGTGTGCCTGTAGTGGAGTATTAATAAGTCCCTTTTAAGCGCGCGGGCGAGGACACACAGCCAGGCAACCCGTTTTATTTTATATCGGGGTTGCCCTGTAACAACTAGACATGTAACAATGTAAGCTCCATAGAAAGCGAGGTTCCAGGTTCCCTACCTCACCTAAGGAAGGGTGAAGCTGAGCAACAAGGGGAAGCTAAAAAGGACTTGGGAGAGAAGGCTAGGGAAAAGAGAAAGACGGGCAGGAGGCACTGGGAGGAAAAACCTGGCTTTAATTGAAATTGTTACAGGGTATGATTGGGGAGAACAGAACTAAGGAAATGACTCCTTCTGATTGAAAGTTAACTTTCGATATTTTGATTTTGCTCTTTCAGCTTCTGTTCCTGGCATTTACCCACGAGGGAATGAGTAACTTTGGATGTTTCATGAGGAAACATTTTAACCATATTCATTCTCTTCTCTCTACTGCACATTAATTATATTAATGTTCTTTTCTCCTGAAGGTTTTACACACTAAGAGTATATTTTGTCTTTATGTGGCAGATGGAAGAAACTATTTAGAGCACATAGGTTTGGGGGCCCTGGGCTGTACCTCATTCTGCCTGCTAACAGATGCACACCACATTTTTCATCATGAGACTATGCATCTGAGTGTTAAAATAATCAAGTAATACTAAGCACTCTTTACCTTATCAATACACTACTACAGCACAGGCAGCTACTCAAAATGTCACTGTACTAGTGAGTTGGACATCAGAAGTCATTAATTCATCCCAACTAGAATACACACACACACACACACACACACACACACACCCCGAAGGCTTTCTCATTGAAGGTACTAGAACACTGGTTTACATGATAGTACAAGTGAAGCTCCTTGTCTCATCCCAAACCTGTAATTGTAATAGACAATTGCTCCCCAGTGGCATAGGGGTGCACAATATGAGTGATTTGCTATAGAGATACTATTGGTATCCAACCATATCTCCTCAACATTCATCTCTACATTCTGAAGGCTACTGTTCAGAAAAATTCAACTGAATAAAGATCTTTTTGAATGGCATCAAATCTAAAAGATAAAAAGGAGCTCCAAGGAGTTGAACAAAAGGAAAGCTATTTCTGTACATATATTACTATCTAGAAATGAAATATTATGAGAATGAATGTAAAAATGTTGGTTAATCAAATCTTTATCATAATATACTTTATTAATACTGTTATGAATTATACTATCATTATAGCTATTTAAAATATAGTCTCATGTATAAAGAATAAATTTTGAAATGGATCTAGTTTTTAAAAATGGAAGAAGACATTTATAGACAGAAGGGAGTGGGAACACGGACAGTTACACTAGGCAAAAGAGGGGTTGATTATTATAAGGATACTTCCTTTTAGGGGAGATAAGGGTCTTCAGGCAGATTGGCTAATTAGTGCTGATCAAAAGATTCCCGATTGATTGGCTGATGATTTCAATTCTAGGGGAGGCAAAACTGTTGTTCACAGCTTGGTGATCTGGGGCTTGGCATAAGTAACTCCATTTTCGGCACCTTGTCTTGTTTCTAACACTACTTATTGTTATCACCTACAAATCTCTGCTGGAGGACTTTTTTTTCCGGTACATACGTGAAAATCGGCACACAGCAAGGTAAGCCAAGAATGCGAGAGGATTAATGACCCCAAGGAGCAACCCCCTAATTAGAGATGGTCAGGAAATAGATAATTACTCTAGCTTATTTACCACACAGTTGGGGATAATCTGAGATTTATTCTACAGGGTTTCCTATAGATCCGTACTGGGATGCACTGGTGGAACCTTTTGCAACCTCATCTATTACTGGCTTCTGTGTATATATTCTCTGACTCAATTACCTTCTCTAATACCCATGCACCATGGCATTACCTCTGAAGTAAACTACCTGTGCTTCAACACTTGTCTCAGAATTTGTTTCTGGAAGATGTAATCTAAGATGAATTTTTTAATAGTCATGTTAATTATAGCTTTGGAAAAAAGTACTTATTTCTTTACACATGACATACCTATGCAATTGTACCTATGCTATCTCAAATGGCTACAGTTTACACATTATTAAAATACTGATAAGAGTGTCAAAACTGTTCTCTTTGCCACTATGGGAACAGTTTTAAATTTTCATCAAAAAATCCACTTCTAAATTTTTGTATTTACCTGACACATGTCTGGTAATAGGACTTACTCATCTGCAAATGGGAATTGTATTAAGTCTAAGAGGGTGTGCCACGGCACAGGGGAAAATCCCCCCAAACCACCTGGTTCTTCTGAGACCACAGAGATGAACAAATTTATACCAGACACATTAATAGGTGAATGGGCCAAAAACTTACCAATATGCACATGGAGTATTTACATTGGTTGTCACACTAAGATAAATTTATACTGTGTTTACAGAGCTGGGGCATGCAGGCACGAGAAAGGCAAGACTTCAGATGACAAGAAAGGGGTGGCCTCATCTTTTCTCTCTCAGAGTAAAAACAGGAGTTTTTTCAAATAGGGAGGACATGTTTATTGATAAACCTACAGCAAGATGCTAATTCTCAAACAACATTCTACAAGGACATAATCAGAACAGTGATCACTTCTTTGATTAGGAAAAGGGCAAACAAGTGAGAAAGAACAAAGTTAGTATCTAATGTCTTCACTGCTCTTAAAATAACCTGCATTCTTTAAATAATGGTAATAGGCATGAAAAGGGTCACAGAACTTCAAATGGCCTTTAGCTGTCCATATATTTTTTAAAGATTTTATTTGTTTATACAAGAACTGGGTACAGGCCAGATGTGTGGGAGGGTGAGAGAATTCACCAGAGACAGAGCAGGGAAAAGAACAGGCAGATGGACCGAAGACACTGCTGAGTGGAGCAGTAGGCAAGACAGGAGAGGTCTGCTGCGCCATGTGGGTAGCCCCTGGCTGGCCGGGAATGGAACCTGCACTGCAGAGGCTGTGGACAGCTTCACAGCGGGGCACTCAACCCGCTGTGCCACAGGGGAGGCCGTAGTTGTCCATATTTAAGTGACACTTATTGGAAGAGGCTACTCAGGGCATTTTGAGAAAGGCCTATCTAACATTTTGGGGGATGTCCCATAAGGAAGGACATCACTCTTAAATGTGCCACTGTGGTATGAAGACTGTTCTAAACTGACGGCAGTTAAGACACAGCAGATTCAGGAGATGCTTTTTACCTCTCCCTGAAACGCATAAGAGAATTTAGATAGGGGATCTGTGTTAGGAAGAAAGCTAGTAACGCAGAAGGAGATGGCTTTATATCAGGAAGACTCATCTGCCTGGCATGGCAAACATTTGTGTAGTAAACACTTGCCCTTTGAAACTCCAGACCACTACCACTCTCCTTAGCTCAGAAAAAGATGAGACTCACAAGCAGCCAGGCAACCGAGTCACATGTTTTTATGGGGGGCTCCCCTAATTATGTACGAAATAAAATTTTTCTTTTCATCATCTGTCTTCCATATGTTTAGTTATCAGACCAGTCAAAGAACCTATAAGGAAAGAAGGGAAATTCTTCCCCCACCACCCATACACACAAATAAAAGTGTAGGGGAAAAAAAAAAACTGCCTTATTCTTTCTTTTTGGCCATTATGTGATCTAGAGCTCCTAATTTTCAAATGACATATTCATAACAATGCAGTCAAAAGTCTTTGAAAAGGACCCTTTCCCCTTTCTCAGGGAATACCAAAAGATGAATCATGTGAGTACAGCTGAGATAAATGTTTGGGGCTAATAACCTGAGCTGAGTCATGATTCATCTGTCATCTCTGTCCTCCACTCCATACATGAGACAAGATTTGCAAGTGACCCTAGACTAAAAATATGGATTTGATGATGGACCCACACAGAGGGCGGGTGTGACCTTCAATACAAGAAAAGCCACCATGTTGGGTTCTTACGGATAATTCTATACTGGTGCTTCTCAAATGATCAGTGGTAAAGATCTATTAGCTTTCACGCTACCAGAAAAAGATCATTTTGTAAAATACTCATAATTTCCTTTCAAAAATTTCTTTTCAAAATGAAAAAGGATAGTAAATGAAATTAAGAATAAAAACAGGGCCTCCCCTGGGCCTCCCCTGGTGGTGCAGCGGTTGAACATTGGGCTGCGAAGCTGCCCACAGCCTCTGCAGCGCCAGTTCAATCCCCGGCCACCGGTGACAGTCCCACATGCCACGCAGACCTCTCCTGCTGCGTCCGCTGCTCCCCTCAGCAGTGTATTTCAGTCAGTCTGCCTGTTCTGTTCCCCGCTCTGGTGAATTCTCTCACCCTCCTGTGCTTCTGACTGTACCCAGTGCTTGTCTAAATAAATAAATAAATAAATCTTTACCAAAAAAAAAATGTGGGTGATAACATGCCTTCAAAGTGAATCGATCACCTGTGTAATGGAAGACAGTGCATGATGACTCTGTCTTGAGAAAGCTGTGTGTATTGTGTATTTTACATCACCAGATACAGCATTCATTTGACACAGGCATTATTCTCATCACATAACAGAATTTCTTCACAAAAAATAAAAATAAAAACAAAGCAACCAAATTATATTTCCAAGTGACTCATATCTTAACCGAGCAAGGAGATTGATTTACAGATGGTAGTTTAGTTGCATATTATTGCAACAACCAAAAAATGTGTCCAGAGAAAATAAATTCAAGACTATTGACCTTTTGGTGAGAAGAGCTGTTCTAAAAGTTAAGGATACTGGGAGCAACATAATATTGAGCTTAATAAAAAATGAGCTCAATGACTTGAAGTGGTTTTGTTTGGCTCTTGATGAATCCAGTGTTCCTGATACTTCTCAAATGACTTTGAGGAATTAATGCTTCAAGCCTGAGTTGGGAAGTGACTGAAGTATTAGCCTATTTGCAGAGTCTGCCAGGAATAACTAACCACTGCAGGCAAAAATATTTTCAAAATTTAGAAAACACTAATTCAGTACAATCTGGGATGGAATCTACTCGCATGTGTTACAACTGATGGTGGTAAAAACATGTGTACGATCATGTAAGAGCTTTGGTGGGCAAATTCACAAAGCTTGTAAAAACATTCAGAGCAGGAGTTACTATGAATCAGAAGTAGAGACGGTAATTTCCACCAACATGCATTTTTTAATCTTTCTTTATAGTCACTGAGTACTCCCACAGCTCTCTATTGTGGAAACTACATTTCACAACTTTCCTTGCAGCTCAGTGCACTTATATGACAAAATTCTACCCAACAGAATAGAAAATGCAAATGATGTATTTTTCATTTGATAGTCTTAAAAAGCATTTACTTGTTGTCTACTATTCCTGTCTATGCTCTTGCATCTGAGAAACTGATCCATGGATGAAAGTCTAATACTGAGAATGGAAGACATTCCACTGTAACCACTTACTTCATGAGAGTCCCCTGAGAAATAAAAATTTCATCTTATTTAGGCTACTGTTTTCTAATCTTTTACAGTATTGCTTATATCTTAATTAATACACTATTCCTGTAAGAAAAAAAAAAAGGCAGTGAAGAAGAATGCAAATATTACCTTGTATATCTGAAGGAATACATCTGTCCATGCTCGTTTACTCCAGTCTTCAAACTTAGTCATATCAAGGACAAGAGAATGTTTTTTTAGAGGTATATTAGAACTCCCGGGTGAGGTATTACTGGAAGACTTTAAAAACATAAAATATTATAACATTAATTAAAATGCAAGGCAAATTTAAGCTCAAAGTTTTAACTACTAAGTTAGCATTGAAGTTTTTATTTCCTTTTCATAAATCCATTGCATGCCCTTTTTATACATTCATCAAGAACTCTAACTTCCCATGTGACAGAAATAGAAGCTGTCAACACTGATAACTTTCTGGAACACAGAATCCCTTACAGAGATGATAGATTTATTTATTCAATGCACCTAGTAGTTCACTCTGTGGCAGAAATGTCAGAAGGAGATGCAAAGTTATTCTGAACTCTAAATTGCAAAAAGAACCACACCTATTGGATTAAGCCCCAGGAACTTGTCAGCATGCGAAATAACAGGAAAATATTACGGAGGTTTCTCAAAATATTAGAAAGAGGGCCTTCCTGGTGGCACAGGGGTTAAAGTCTCAGGGCTATGAAGCTATCACTGGGCAGCAGATCTCTCCTGTCTCGCCAGCTGTTCCCCTCAGCAGTGTATTTTAGTAGATCCTCCTGTTCTGCTCCTCACTCTGTCTCTAGTGAATTCTCTCACCACCCACACCCCAGTTCTTGTATGCATAAACAAATAAAAATAAATCTTTAAAAATATTAAAACAAGATCTACCATATTATCAAGCATTTCTACTCTCTCAGGCACCTTCCTGGAAAATGAAAAACACTAATTTGAAGGAATGTATATACTCCTATGTTCATTCAGCTCTATTTGCAAAGCCAAGATATGGAAACAGTTTAAGTGCCCAATAAGATGAGTAGATAAAGATGATGCGGTATGTACATATTCACACACACACACAAATATGCAGTAGAATACTGCTCAGCTATTAAAAAAAGATAAAATTTTGCCATTTGTGACAATGTGGATGGAACAGAAGGGGATCATGTTAACTGAAATAATTCAGAAGGAGAAAGACAAATATCAGATGATTTCACTCATATGTGGAATATAGAGAAACAAAACAAAGGAACAGATAAAATCAAACCAAACAAACTGTAGAAATCTGACTGCAGAAGTGAGACTGCTAGAAGGGTGGCGGGGGGGGGGGGAGCAATGGGTCAATGGGCTATGGTAGAGGACTATGGGTGCTTTGGTGGTGGGTGTGATATGATGATGATGACACACATCTGAAGAGGTGTGAACCTTTACCTCTAAATCCTATACAGTGTTGTAAACCAACACTGCCTCAATACAAATTACAATGACTGCAACAACAACAAAGAACAGGGCCCGGGGTCACCTCCTATGTCCTGTGGCAGTGAAGATAAGAGCATCAAAACTAATTTCCATGAAACTTGTAGCTTTCTCAAATCAATTCCCCTTCTCAATAGTTTTCCATAAACAGAATTGTATACGTTGAAAAAAAAAAAAACTGCATACCTTCCTTAATTTCTCTATTCTTCTCTAACACAGAAAAAGGGACTGGCAAGTGGTAGGGAAATTAACTAGTTTTTTCTCTGGAAAGTACAGATTCTAAAAAGTTATTTCAGGAGAAGATACTGCATATGCACCCATCATAAGAACATTTTGCATAGGATTTTTTTTTGCAAAGGTTTTTCATGCAAATACACACACACACACACACACCCCACCCCGTCCATCCCCCCAGACCCCCCAGCCCAAGGCTGGTCAAAATATTTAGAATATTTTGTAAATAAAAAATCAAGCATTCTAAAATTCGAAACAAAAGAAAATAATTAAGAACTTTTCTTTGTTTCTATCTTTGCTTTGTTTTGATTACTACTGCTTCCTCTACTCAGTGAATTTAATATAATCAGATATGGCAAGGATCTGATTTGTGGAAAATTCTTTGTGTCTCATATAAATTAAATAAGCAAAATAGTATAATAAGCAAAATAGTATAAAATTTAAATAGAATATTGTAAAAATATTGTCAAGTATTATATAAATAAAAAGAAAATGGAATCTTCTATGAAAGAATACCAGTAATTTAATATTACTATGTAAACTGTTACTAAAAATTATATCCCCTTACTGTAATTTCAATCCACTTCTTATAATCTTCTGGTTCAAGCAGAAATTCTGGCAGTACATGAGAAATACATGCTCCTTGAGCACTAAAATTAAAAAGAAATCCAAATGATTATAGTATAATATACATACATCACTTGCATTTGAAATTCAATTAATTTAATGGCATATTGTTTTTTCAATTTTTAATTTTCAAGTTTAAGATTTATACAATTTTTGATTCCTTTTGAGAACTGATTAAGGAGAAAGAACTTACTATCTACTTACAATCACACCTACCCTTGAAACCATGATGGTCTTCCCTGTTTCTGCTTATCTTGCAAGAAAAGCAGGACAAGCTTGTAAGAGTGAACTAATGGGACCAAAATACCACTACCTATTTAAATGGAAAAGCAGAATTTTTTTTAAATTGACAGTTGTGTTTTCAGAGTAAAGGCTCAGAAGACTGTTCACTTTCTCATTGGCTGACCCAAAAAACAGCCCTGGGAAACAGAACTAAAATACCTGACTCACTCTTAAAGCAACAGCATTAGGCAGCAAGGGATACCCAGTTTTGTTGTGATTCTGGACCCACATTCAAGTTACAGCAAGGCAGCAAAAGGCAACCACTCAGACTCTATCAAGTTACATTTTTCTGACACTGTCATTTTTTTCCCCAACTCCTTAAATATTGCCCAAGTCCCCATCCTTGGGAGGCAAATTTGAGGCTCTCATAATACATCCCTTACACTTATGTAGTGATGTGACAATGGGTCCCTGTATGCTTGGCAGACTTTTCAAAAGTTTTAATATTAAATATTCTGAGAACGTTATAGTTTTTTTTTACCCCAAGAGAAACAAAGCTGGGATCAACAACCATGTCACTGAAGCAATTAAAAGGTATCATGACAATCCAATTTATCGACATGATGAAATTCAACTTGTTCCAGTTGCATGGAAAGACTAATAGCACAACAAAGTCACTCATGGCCACTGTTGAGCATACTCTTAGAACAAATATATATAACCAAAGCCTATAATGTGATCCCGGTGGCATAGTCTTTTAATTGGAGATTTTCAAACTTGAAAATTGAGAATGTACCCATTTTGGAAGAATGCTTTCCTACTTTTAAAGAATTATAGATTTCCATTTCTGTGTATACATTTCCATGTGCCACTTTTCATGTCTTCATGTTGTTGGATGTTAATGCAGATCATGCCATTTTCACTAGTAAACACTCACAGCTCTTTATCTTAACTAGAAGAACCCAGCCTCTTGGGTTCAAACCCAATCCAGAACAGTTTTTCTGCTCCTTGGATCACTCTATCAGGGATAGTTCAGTCCAGTAAGTAGAAAGAAAAGCCTGGTTGCTAGAGGGTGGAGTTTGGGAGCTGCCATGACTCATTTGCACCTCCACCAGTGCCCTTGTCTTGCTCTCTGTTTCAGGCTCTCTGTTTCAGGTGCAGAGTCTCCACTTGAAGTATTTTAACCTAATGTCTTCATACATATAATTCATATTAAACTATTCTACAGAGCCAATACAGTTTCGGCAGAAAGTGCTTCTGAGTAGTGGTTTTTGAGACAGCCTAGGTAAAATAAATTGTGAGCTGATAATATAATAGTTGTCCAATGTCCTATTTGAATGAGGGAATCAAACTACTGGCTGAGTTAGACTGAGTTTCTCAAGAACCTGTTGGAACAGGGAGACTAAGTCACAGACTGTAGGGCCTTATCCCAACATACTGTCCAAACATTTCAGCCCACCAGACCCTCCCCCTTTCCTGGGGACTACCCTGTTACAGACTGACCAAAGGCACTAGGCTAGACAAACGTGTTAGATCCAGACTAATGATTGCCTCAGTTTTCTGGGAGAAAGCTGAGAGCACTCCAAGTGCAGTTGGAATGGAACCCATATATGCATGCCTGGGGGTAGCCCAATCCAGAACAAATGTCGCTCTCCTCTGCCCCACTTCATGGATCTACCCTTTAAACACTTCCTCCTAACTCCCCTCTTGGAGCCAGGTTAAAATTCTCCTTTTGGGCACTGGTTCCCTGGTACATGAGTCTCTAGTAAAGCATTGCCTGTTCACTTGAAACACTCTCTGGTGAAGTCTTTCTCCTAGAGGTTCTCTGGACCCACACATCTTGGAGGTTCTGTAATAGTTCAGATGTTTAGATCTAGAACTCATTTTGGGAGCAGAGAACACTAATCATCACAGCATTTAACAGAGGATACCGAATCTAGTGTTCAACTCTGGAGACTTCCTCTTCAGTTTAAAGTCCTGTAACTACTGGTGAGTAAGACAAATAAAAAGGAAAAAGGATACTTAAGATGATTCTGAAAGCTCAAATTTTGATGATAGCAGAGACAAATAAGAGAGAAATAAGGAGGGGAATCCCTGTGGAAGTATAAGCAGTGAGCACAGTTCTATAGCTGTTAAGTTTGACTTGGCCCCAAGGCAGTGGAAACCAGTGGAAGAAATCACTTTGCATATAAAAAACTCCTCTGTTTGGAAGTTAAATATCTTAACTCCTGGGCCTACCTGGTGGCACAGGGGTTAAAGACACAGAGCTATCAAGCTATCTCCAGCCACAGAGCACAAGTTCCATCCCCAGCAGGCCAGGGAGCAACCCACATGGCACAGCAGACTCCTCCTGTCTCACCTGCTGGTCCTCTCAGCAGTGTATTTCAGTAGATTTGCCTGTTCTGCTCCCCACTCTCTCTGGTAAATCCTCTCAACTACCCCCATACCTCTGGTCTATACCCCAGTTCTTGCATGCATAAATAAATCTTTTAAAAAAATCATAACTTCTCTTTGATTTTCACACATTTCCTGTCTGTATCACATCTATGAATGAATCTTCATTACATTGGAATTACTGTAACTTTAAGTAAAATCTAATGTTAATAATACACCACTCCTTAGCAATAGTAGCCAAAGTAAATCCTGTGTAAAACTCAGAACTCAATGAGATGAGGTCCCATTAAGTTAAAATCCTAGAGAGTGAAACAGACAGCTTAGAGATCTATGAAGAAACTAGAAAACTTCTTGGCATTTGAAACTATACAGGATCTCAGGAGGAAATTATCAAGTCTATCAAATGCTAAGGAAAATGATCAGGGTATCATTAAGCTAAGAGCTTCCTGGGAAGTGAGTGTGCTCACTTAAGTATTCCACAGTGCTGAACATGAAGTAGGTCCTCAGTAAGAACTGAACCTGAAGAATACATTTTTGCATTGTGAAAAACAAGTCAAGGGGCCTCCCTGGTGGTACAAGGGGCTAAGACGCAGCACTATGAAGCTATTACCATCCACTGCAGCAGGAGTTCAATTCCCAACCAAGGAGGTGACCCACATGGCACAGCAGACCTCTCCTGTCTCGCCCACTGCTCCCCTCAGCAGTGTATTTCAGTCAATCTGCCTGTTCTGCTCCCCACTGTCTCTGGTGAGTCCTCTCACCCCCTACACCTCAGGCCTGTACCCCAGCTCTTGTATGAATAAATAAATCTTTAAAAAAATAAAAATAAGTCAAAATGGAATCACTTATATTAAGGGTTAAGGGGAAAATTATTTTTCCACTCCTGTATGAGATTTGTTTCAATGGAGTGATCTGGCGCAGTTGAGGAGCAAACTCCTCCTCCTGATGTCCACACACCACCCAAAATGGACAGCAAAATGTCTACACACTGTCGAGGCCCTAATTCCACCCTGATATCCTGAGCCAAGGCAGCTGCTTGAAGGAGGCGGAGCTGAGCTATCCTTTGAGTCTTTAAAAGGGAATGATGCATATGGACTTGATCTCTGTTTTGTCAGAGCTGTTATGAAAGGCAGCTGCCCTTACAAGCCTTCCCCACCCTTCCAGAGTGGGGGTGGGGAAGGGGGGAGCCCCAACCTCAGCATTGTCAGACCTCTGCTGCACCCTGCCGGTTCTTGTGGCTGCAATTCCACCTTACACCTGCTAGTTCTCCATCCTGTTGGTTAAAATAAATTATTTCCATTGGCAGTACCAAAGGCCCCTGTGCTTGCATTTGCAACAGCCAGTGACCAGACCTAGAATCAGTGAGAGATTCTGACCTGGTCACAGTTTTTAGGCTCTTTGCCCAAAAGTTTCATTCTTTTCATTTTGAATCTATCTCAAAGGCTAACTTCATGAGTTCCTGAGATAGTATTTACAATTATGTCCTGTCAATAGATTTTCTGTCTGGTGAGTAGTTTCATAAGAGTTGACTTTCATAATTGATTTGTTACAATTTCACATGCTGGCTTTTCTATTGAAATATTTCTTCTGAGTAGAAAAAAATGAAATTAGATGTACTAATTTATAAAAGTATAAACTTAATCTCCAAAAATTAGGGAATGTCTCATTTATTGCACAAAATAGATAGAATTCCAGTTATACAAAAGTCCTTACTTATTCTCATTAAATTTAAATGAGGAAAAACAGTTATGATAATTTTTGAAGGTAATACATTTATTGAATATTTCCATGATGAAACCTATGTGTGTAACATGGATTAATGATCCAATTTTATTAACCATACTGCCATTCTCTAAATGTTGAGCAATTTTATCACAGCCAACATATCCTGATAGGCATGTATTTGCTGATAAAATAGCAATAAATTTGAATGCCTTGGCTTTAATGCCAAAATCATTCTTCCATGCCTGCATTCTCACACCATGAAATGTCAAAACAGAAAACACCCATGTAATATTAAAGCTACTGGGAAGTGTGGCAACAAAAATACAACAACAACAACATATCATAGAGTGTAATGAGAAAGTTGACTTCTATAGTGCACAATTATTTCAGTGTCCAAACATCCTTATTTAGTTCATAGTTAACATTGCATTAGATTTTAAATATAGAATGATTTTGTTACAGATTTTTAATACAGAATGGCATTAGAATTTTTGCCTTATTGAATGAGAGTGTTTACTTTACTGAATTAATCATCAAGGACCAAGAATAAAAAGTGGCAAATTAAGAGTAGTCATGTGCTTTCTATTTTAAATGCATAAAAATTTGAGTAAAATTCTAATTTATCTAATATAAAGACATCCTTGATAAATATTGATTTTCTGACATCCTTATGCCAACAAAGCATTTATCACTAACAGAACAGATTTTTAAAATATTCTAATTCAGTGATAATGATATGAGTCAGTTTTCAGAATGTCACTAATAGTTACCAAGGTGAAATAATTTAGGCCAACATTTCAGCATATGAATGTTGAATCACACGTACTAAATATCTTACAGTGCACATTTTATTATTGCTAATTCTTACAACCAAATGGGTTTGGGAATTATCAACCTCAATTCTGCAGCCAATTCTGAAATTGGAGCTTAAACAGTGAGTGATTTGCACTGTCATAGGAGTTTATACTAGAATTTAAGCCTGCATTTACTTAACTCAAAAGCCATGCTCCTCCTACCCCCACTTGACAGCACTCTTCCACAATCACTTCTTAGATGGGTGCTTTGAAATATTTTCATTCTCTATGAAAACTCTAATACAAAAATATTTTTGCCCTCCTATGTTCACAGCAACATTACCCACGATAGCCAGGTCATGTAATCAACGTAAGTGCTCACCAACAGGTGACTGGCAAAGAAATTGTAGACTATCTACTCAATAGAATACCACTCAGCTATTAAAAAAAGATGAAATAGTGCCTTTTAGGACAAAATGGATGGATCTTAAGGTGACTTATCCTAAATGAAATCAGTCAGAAAGTGAAAGACAGATGTCAGATGGTTTCACTTACTTGTGAAAGAACACATACTGGCAAAGCGCAGCAAAAATAATTCTTAGACAATGAAAAATATACTGGTTACCAGGGAGAATAGGGGAGAGGGAGGAGGAGGTGGTAGGGGTATGCATGGGATAGCTCACTGGCACAGAAATTTTGGTGGTAGGTGAGTAAAGTATGTACACCTATGGAAGTGTGAAAATATATCCCCCAAATTATATAGATATGTACATGACTGAAAATTTAATAAAAAAGAAATATTTTCACTCTTAGATGCAATTTCATTAAAAAATTCCATAATGGTCACATGTAGGTAAGAAGTGTTTAAGGGGTTTTTTTACTTACAGAAATGAAAAGAGAGGCACCTGTACAGTCACAGAAGGGCAAGCGAGCTTCCAAAGGATGTAAGGTTTTAAAGATAAAAGAAATGAAATCACAAATGGAATTAAATGTACTAACAAAGGGAAGTTGGCTTTTTTAAGTGCAATTATTTTGATAAATGAACAATTGATGTAAAAGTCAATGGGATTAGAAAATAAGAGTTATGGTCGTTTTATATGATATCTCACTACATTACAGTTTCAAGTATAGGGTACAGGGTATTCTACTTCTGTTTACTTTTATATTATGGAAATTGAAAGCTGTAGAAAATTCTTTCCATGAAAATTAATTACATCTTAAAAAAAAGATTGTTATGAACAAATGAAATTTTATCAAAGGATATTAGTATTTGTATTAGTCTGCTGGGGTTGTCCTAACAGAATACCACAGGCTGGATAGCTTAAGCAACAGAAACTTATTTTCTCAGAGTTCTGCAGGCAAGAAGTCCAAGAAGGAGGTGCCAGAAAACTTGTTTTGTGGAGAAATCTCTCTACCTGCCTTTCAGATTAAGGGCCCATCTTTGTGATGCCATTAACCATAACTATATCATTAAAGACGCTATCTCCAAATACAGTCACATTGGGGGTTAAGCTTCATCGTGTGAATTTGAAGAGGGACAAATTATACCTATAAGAGGCAGAAATGACAAGAAATACTAAGCACGTCATTTCAAACATAGCAACACTAAATTTATTGTGAAATATAACAACCAATTAAACAACACTTTTATTACTTTTTTAAAATTTAATTTTATATATTTTTACATCACTTTTTCATTTTTGCACAATGTATGCATTTTCATCTTGGTTATAATCCCCATACAATTCCCACCCCTCTTGTTTTGATCCTACTCCCTTCTCCCCCTACCCACGGCCCCTGTAGTGTGTCTCTGGTTTATAGTTGCTTGTTGATTTTGATTTCTTCTTCATTATAATTAGTCTTTTTCCTGGTCCCTTACAATAGAAGATAGAAAGCTTTATCATGAGCTGAATTGTGTCCCCCCAATAGTCATGCTGAAATATGAACTCTCAGCCCTTCAGACTGTGACTGCATTTAGAGTTAAGCCTTTAAACTTTAAGGTAAATTATTAAGGTAAAATGAGACCCTGAGGGTGGACCCAAACACAATCTGACTAAGGTCTTTGTAAGAAGATGAAATCTGTAGAGAGACACCAGGGATGTGTGTACACTGAGGAAAGACCAAGGCAGGGCACAGAAAAGGCAGCCACCTGCAAATCAAGCAGAGAGGCCACAGAGGAAACCCCATCGGTCAACATCTTATTCTTGCACTTTTGGCCTCCAGAACTGTGAAAAAATAAATTTCTAGTTTTGTAAGCTTTCCAGTCTCTGGCAGTTTGTTATGGTAATCCTAGCAAACTCATATGGGTAAGATGCAATGAATGCCTTAATAATTAAAGTCATTTTTAAGAGTTCATAGAGTCAAATGACAAACATAAAATCATTTAGTAACAAGTGTAATGTCCTTTATTCAAGGGAAAACAATCCATGTCAGGTTACATAACAGGTGTTTCTCAAGTATAGGCTGACTTGGGTTTAGATTTGTGACATAGGTAAGCCACTGGGGTGGATCCATTTTGGGGGTCCCAGTGTACAAAATAACTATCAATAGTTTAACATTATAAATAAAATCCTATGTATAATATGCATAGTGCAAAACCTATCTTTCTCCAACTTCTCTCACTCATTACACCTTTTCTCCTGAAATGCAAATCCATTACCTTTTCTTTTTTTACCACGAACTTTTTTATTTCATGGTTTTCCTCATTCTTATATGACTTTCCTGAGACAGGACTTCAAAGTTTTATTCCTTTCACCACACAAGTTCAAAAAGCAAAGTTCTATGAAAGGAAAAATGCTAACAAATAAATCTTTAGTGAACAGTGGCACCATTCCCTGGTACCCTGTATTTTAGAGCTGCTTATTGTCTCCAAAATGCTCACAAATTAGTGGGGTACACTAAATAATGAATAACATAAAAAAAGAGACATGCAGATCTATAACCACATTTCTGGATCCTCAGTCTCCAGCAACGCCCCCTCTCAGTCTGAAAGTCTAGTTGCCAACTGGGCATCTGCTACTGAGGTGGGCTCTTCTATCTCTCCTCTTAGCACCATGAAGAACCAAGAAGTCCTTCAAACTGACTCATTCACTGTCCATTTGTCATATATTTGTCATTCACATTGTGACTTCAGAGCCAGCCAGCTCCTATGCTCTGCCTCTTTAGAGGAGTCCCTCCCATTGACCAACACAGCATAGGAGATTGTGTGGGTCTTAATTCAGTCTCTCCAGGGACTTTGAAACTTGTGGATAAACTTCAAGATCACAAGAAAGTCTAGTCAGTTTTGACTGCCATGATAGTGAGAGAATAAGGAAGAAAAAAATACTTTGTTCCATACATGTCTAATTTTTAAGAGCAGAGTAGCATAGTTTTGTTAGAGAATGAAAAATCCTACTCAGAAACCAAAAAAAAAAAAAAAAAAAAACCTAAACACCAAATATTTCCCTTACAAGCATCTGTCTCCACCCTGCTGAGGTAGGTGAATATCTTTGGCTAACTATGGAATAGATTCCATACACAAAGAAACAAAATGTAAAAACATAGTAATGTATTTCAAAATATATTCACTACATAACAGCAAGTAACATGTTATTTTAGTGGTACAGGAGCATGGAAGATGGAATAACAACACTGCCTACAGATGTGGGGGACTCCTGGGGACAAAGATACTACAAATGTAGAAAAAGAAATGCTATAAATTCACCAACACACCCCTCAGACTTTTAATGGACATTTCTTATTTCTTGGCCAGTTGCCATTTAATCTCTGCGGAATGACACAGATATTATGATTATAAACATTTTCCCTATATTTTCTATCAATCATTTATGGAAATTTCATCTGCCCATTATTTCAGTACTAAGAGATTTCTAACCGTGCAGACTGAAACTCAAGTATTCATACCTGAGATTATATTAATAGTAATCTGAGGAATAAATATTGGTTTCATCCATTTTTTGTTCAATGTATTTACATATTTACCTTATGCAGGCTGTCAAAATGAACTCACAGACCAAATGCATTGTATCACTAGAATTTTTTTATAAAGGCAACTAGCATTATAAACTCTGTGAAAAAGGGTCAGAAATCTGTATAGCATGCCATTCCAGTAATTTGGATGCATTGGTAAAGTTTGAGAATGATCATCTTAGATTATAAATTCAACAGGTCACAAAAAGCTTATTTTTTGTTTTCCAAGGTATAGATTACAGGGTTATGTATATAGTGGAAACTTAGTAAATGTTTTATAAAAAGACAAGTAATAATAAAGTCTATCTATTTTTCCACCTATCCATCTACTTATCTATTTAACCAACCCATAATTACATGTTTAAATTAACAAATCCATGCACTTACGTGAGAAACTCAAGAAGTGAAGAATGCTGAAAATGAAGCTGAATCACTCTTTCAGTGCAGTCCAGAGGTAAAGACTGACTTGAGTTAACTCCAGGTAGCATTTTTCCACTCAAGTGAAGGATTACATCATAAATGGTTTTATTATATTTGGTAAAGTCATTCTCTCTGTAACATTTTTTGGGTGATGAGGTTGAACAGAATTGTATTTTATACACATCTCTAAAAGAAATAATTTTAAGATTTTTTTAATCTCAAAATGCTATGGGAAAAAGAAACATATTCAATGACTACATAAAATTCCATTTAAAATCAAATAAGAAAGAAATGACAAAATTCACTCTATTCAGCTAGCATTTGTTAGATTTTCTAAATAACCCAAGGGTTTTCCAATATCTTGCTTCAAACATCATTAACTAATATTGCAACTGTCAAGTCTGAAATACTGGGTTATGATTAGAACATATAAGTGTTCTGGAGAAACAGTGCAGGGATTACTTCCTACTATCTGTGTATGACAAGTTACCTAAACCCATTGATCTCAATTTTGGATACCATAAATTGGAGTTAATAATGCCTACAATAGGGGCCTCCCTGGTGGCGCAAGGGGTTAATCACTGTGCTATGAAACAATCTGCAGCCTCTATCCCCAGCCGGCCAGGGAGCAACCCACATGGCCAGGGAGCAACCCACATGGCGCAGCTGACCTCTCCTGCCTCGCCCCTGCTCCCCTCAGCAGTGTGTTTCAGTCAGTCTGTTCTGTTCCCTGCTCTGTCTCTGGTGAATCCTCTCCCCACATCTCACATCTCTGGCCTGTATCTCAGCTCTTATATGCATAAATAAATAAATCTTTAAAAAAAAATAATGCCTACAATAACCTTCAAGACAGATTTCAAACATTCACCACACATGAAGATACAATGGCATAAGTATATATATTTACTCAAGATTTACATTTATAATAATTTATTATATATATATTTTACATCATTGTTCATTTTTGTACAATGTTTGCTTTCTCCTATCAGGTATAGTCCTTACAGAATTCCCACCACCAATTCACCCGTGCACCATCACTATAGTCCCTTGCACGCTTCCCACCCTCGTTTTAAACCCCCCCCTCCCCATCCCCTGCAGAATGTCTCTGATTTATAGTTGTTTTTGTTTTGTTGTGTTTTTCATTGTCTTTTTTTCTCTGATCCCTTATTTGGTTCCCCTATATTCCTCCTATAAGTGAAACCATCTGATATTTTTCTCTTTCCTTCTGACTTATTTCATTGAGCATAATCCCTTCCAGCTGTATTTTAATATTAAGAAGGGCACATCCTGCACATCAGCCTCATGAGTAGGGACTCTAATTTTAAAGATAAAAATGCAAAGACCTACTACTGTCTCATATATTTTTTCCATTCTCTAAATAAAACAATGCAATCTCTATTTCCTGACACCTCCTGCACCATTTGTGATGGATGTTAATTTTTTAATGGACTAAAAAAATGATAAAATAAATACAGAAATGAAAAACTAATCCAAGACGTTACTTATCATATGATAAGTAAACTGCTAATATCTATAATCAAGAAATAATAAAGTTGGGCCTCCCCGGTGGCACAGCGGTTGAGCGCTGGGTTGTGAAGCTGCCCGCAGCCTCTGTAGCGCCGGTTCCAGCCCTGACCACTGGCGAGGGTCCCACATGGCCCGCAGACCTCTCCTGCCATGCCCACTGCTCCCCTCAGCAGTGTGCTTCGGTCCTTCTGCCTGCTCTGCTCCCTGTTCTGGCTCTGGTGCATTCTCTCACCCTCCCGAGCTTCTGACTGTACCCAGTGCTTGTATAAATAAATAAAATCTTAAAAAAAAGAAATAATAAAGTTATAAATGAGGAGTCTATAAGGACAAAAACAGTAACACTTCTAGTCACAATTGTTGAGTAGTGAATTTGAATGCTTGATGATTTTCCCCCAAAATGAAAATAATGCATTAAAGTTTACTCAAAATAGGTAAAAAAAAAAAATGGTAGAACACCAAAGCAGGAAATTGAAAAGTTATAACAATAACTTCTCTAATGAAATTCTTGGAATCAGATGATTTTATGATCAAGTCTATAAATTTTCAGGAATCTTCTGCAGTAATTGTCCCTAGTCTCAAAGGTAGAACATTATCTAATGAAGCTGGTTTTGTCCTATTCAGAAAATTGAAAGAAATGACTTGCAGGAAAACTATAGACTTAGCTTAACCTAGCTTGCTCTTGAAAATAGATGCAAAAAATGAGAGTAGAGCTGATTAGCTACAGAGATCAGTACTCACCCCTAGGGTGCCAGCAAGGTATCCCAATGCTGAGCTAGGTGGTAGAAAAGCTCTGAGAACCACTCTACTAGCAATATTACAATATGGGAAGTGCCAAAATTCCTGTTTACATTAACATATTAAGTGAATTGACAGAATCAATGCAGTTTAACTACTTGACAGCTGAGCAACCAAACAACTCAAGAAGGAGCATTGTCAAAGAGGAGACTGTGTCAAAGAAATGGTGTCCCCCTATACCTGACTATATTGTAGATTTATGGTCAATGTTTTATTTATGTATAATTTTGGAATTTCCAATTTTTTCAAATTTAAAAGGGCTTTCCTACCCATAGCTTTCCCTTTCTCATTTCACAGAAGAAACAACTTCTGTTCAGAGATTTTCAGTTCTTGCCTAAAATTATCAGATATTTAAAAGAAATCCTCTTTCATGAAACCTCTTATCGTCACATAATTTTGTTTTTCTTACTAGACCCCTCACAATTTATCAGTTCAGAAAAAATTATTTGATATTGGGTTTCAGTTATTCTTTTTCCTGGTCCCTTATTTAAGTTTTCTAGAAAACTAAATAAGGGACCAGGAAAAAAGAATACTATAAGAAAGTAAAAATCAAAATCAACAAACAACTATGAACCAGAGACACTCTATGGAGGGTGGGGGGAGGGGAGGGATTGGGGTCAAAATATGGGGGTCACAATTGCATGAGGAATATAAAAATAAAATTTATAATAAAAATATTGGGTTTCAGGTAAAACAACGACAATAAATAGATTGTTACACAACACAAAGCAGGGGATAAAGAGAAACATATAGCTGTCACCTTCTTATAGTCTCCGGAATAATAAGAGAATGGGGTCCATCAGGCCAGCCGAAGAGACTGAACCAGACCTGAACTGCACTTATCACCTTCTCAAAGAAGTTATAGGTCTTTGATCCTTCTTCAAGTGAAATGAATTGCTTATTTTTCTCCTCCTTTTTCATGGTTTTGCCTTCTCTCTTTGACTTTCCACTTCTGCCCGATTTCAACCTTTCATATAATATTTCCATTCCTAAAATTCACATATGTTTGTAAAAAATGGTTACTTGGCCAGGAGTAAAATATTCTGTTATCTATTGTTATTTGTATGTAGATGAAATTATTTTTTCCACAAATTATTCTATGCTCTCAAAGAAATTTGGAGTCAATTTACTGCATTGTAAAAGAAATACATTTATTTTCAAATACCTGTCAGAAATAGCTTTAAAAGCAGAGGAATTTCAATAAGGAAAACTATTAAATTTTCTTCTTGCCATAATGTATGTGAAAACATTCCCCCAAATGGACCCTTTCATTTTCAATTACATGTCTAAAAGATCTTGACAATGCTTTATCTTTACTTAATAAATATAATTAAAGCTTAGCTGAAATTTATAGAAACAAAATACTGGCATCAGATTCACAATGACTTTCCATCCAAGTGCAGCACTTCAATGAAATATTTTTGAATCACAGAAAGTTTAAAGAATATAAAATTCAATAAAAAGGAAAATTTTCTATATTACCCATTATCCAGAGAAAGGATCATGCATTAATTTAAGATTGCAGCATAGACAGGATCAGATTAAGAGTCTTGGATGATCTCTAAAATTTAATTATTGGAATATTTGAATAGTTAATTGTAAATATTAAATTTACATATTTATCTGTGCCCAGCTCTTTCTAAGTTAGAAAACAATGAATCCAACTACATGATGGAGTTAAATCCCCAGTTCTGCAATTCCCAAAGTGTGCAGCAAGGGTGCCTGAATGTCACAGAAAATTCACAAGGGTTCTGCAAGATATTTAATATTTTAGTTAAATATCTGCAGCATCTGTTAGGTATCTCATAAACTACTCCTCTTAGGTTTTTGAAGCAAATCACTTAAGACATTAAAACATTTTCAATGTAATTATGCCAAAATTTTTGGAATTACATGATGTGTTAAAATTGAATATAAGATTATAATTATAATTCTTCTGACATTTCCTGAAATGAAATCAGTGCTTGTTTATGAGCTGATATCATTTTACACAGTTTTCAATCTCTATTCCAGTTAAGTTGCTGCATATACACTAGAGTTTGCCACATTGATAATATGAACCCAAGGACAATGCTGACCAAAAAAAGCCAGTAGATGGAATTCAGGCCAGTTATCTATCTATCTACCTACCTACCTACCTACCTGTCCATCCACATGTGTGTATGTATGTATATGAGTATGTATATACATATATGAATACATTTATAATGTAATTCTGTCAGAAAAGCAAGGCCTGTGCAAACAGAAAGATGTAATTTGAAAACCTGGCTCCTCCATAAAATAAAGTCCAAAGATCCTGAGCTCATGAGATTGCTGTAAGGATCATATAAGCAATAATACATGCAAATAAGCTGTTATATATGTTTCTTTCAATCATTCAGTACAAATCCAGCCAGAATTTGCCAGAGATCCAGAAGGTGTGCATTTCTCCAGGAATGCTACACCACCATAGACTTCATAGAAGTGAATTTAGGGGAAGTCAATGAAGAATGATTCACTGTGGATGCATTAGGGAGTGTCTTTTTAACTTACTGTCAAATGATAAAAGGTTCCTAATGGGTACAAAGCCACATCTGTACCCTTCAACTAAGTCAGTTCCTTTTTACTTAGCATATGAGTTATAAGAAATAAATCATACTGCCATACTTTTAGATACACCTAATATATTTTAAGATTTCACCTTTATTGAACATATCATACTCTAGAGCACATTAGCTAAGTGTGTAGGCTTTGAGGCCTCACAAATATTTCCTTAGGATTCCCTGGAACAACCAGTTCAACTTTTCTATGATCCAATTTCTTAATCTGTAAAGTGAGATTAAATAAGATTATTAAACACAAGATTTGTTGGAAATCCTAAATGAAATAACAAATATAAGGCCCTTAGCAGAGCACCAGATGTATGAAAAATACTAAGTACTATAAATGATTGTTTACATATTTCTAAAGATGTAATAGAATATTCTAGTCATGTATTTCTATAGTAATATTTATGCATTATTTTAACCTATAGATTTTATGGTCAATTATCATGCAAATACAAATGACACAAAGTCTTGTTCCTTTTTTTTTTTTAGAGATATGGAACTAAGTTACTCTAACTGCCCAGTTTCCTTTACTACTTTTCTCCCTCTCCCTAGGAAATCAAAGTAGTTAATCTGATTGACAAATTTAGGAAGAATAAATCTGATATGCATGATCTGAATTTGCCTTTCTTCTTTGGGAAGGAACTTGTGCACTGAGAAGGAATAGTCACCTCTTCCCTTCCTGCTCTCTCCAAAGCAGCTAAGCGGGAGGTGAAATCAGAAGGGTATGAGTCAACCAGATTAGCTGATTAAGCAAGGCCCCTAGATAAGAGGATTCAGGATAAAGGAATGGACTATGGCTGGAGGGAGTCTAGCCTCCCTCTCTGTGACAGGGCCAATATGGGTTCTAAATACATTTGATATTTGGAAGTTCAGGGTGTCTGCTTTATTTCCAGGCATTCACTATATTGCTCTTTTCTGAAATCATCCTGTTCAAGATCATCATTTCTCAAGCTCTACACAAAAATCATCTCTTCCATAATGTCAGTTATCCCAGGTCCCAAACATCAGCATTAACCTATGTAACATCCACAAACTCCCAACACTTCAAATGACTCATATATAGAGCTTTTAATTCAATCTTTTTTGTACTAATTTATTTATGTACCTTTAGGAACTTCTTATGAACACTTAAGAACTTCGGGAACTAAGATACACTGTCAGTCTGCTCTGAATGCTAAACACAACACCTGGAAATGACAGGAGTTAAATAAACATCTGTTCATTTTAAAGTCACTATTTCTAAAAGCTGGCCTTGGGTAACAAGAACATATACAATGAGAATTAAAGGGACAATAGTCATACATAACTTACCGTTTTTCAAAACAACTTTTTGCTTATCAATATATATTGCCATATATGGGTAAATAGTAAGAATGCAGTTTTCTGATGTTGCAGTAACTGGAAGTGAAAACCTAAAGGAGAAAACAAGGCTTTTCAAAAAATAAAATCTTTAGATACAGTAAAGACAATAAATTTTTTAAATCTTCTGGATGCTTTAATGATCAAGGTATGAATTATTCAACATCTTTCTCTATCTACTTTGCTTTTCTTAAACACCTACTGTACGTATTTTAATGGTTTATGGACACTTTTAAGACTTTAGCAGACTGGAAACTTCATCGTCAAGTGTACTGCAGAACACAGATTGTAATTATGCAAGTTCAGAAACAGATTCAGACAATTTTAGAGCTAATTTACTCACATTCTTCTATAGAATCCCTGACAAATGGTTTCTAGCCTCAGATGACACCACTAGGGAGACACTATCAGGTTGACACTAGAGATAATCCAATTCACATATACATGGGCTGTCATTTCAGAAATTCTGTCCAGCAGTGTAGAACAAAATCTACAATCTGATCTCCATTAAATTCCTTCAAATATTTAAATACAGTCTTCAGATGCCCATCATTCAGAACATTCAAGGATTCTTTCAACTGTAAAGTCTCCCAATATTTCACATACAATCCCACTTCTTTAGATGACCATTTGTTTCATGTCTGCCCTTCTTTATTTTTTTTTATAGAGGCATGTTTTATTTATTTATTTGTTTGTTTGTTTGTTTGTTTTGTTTATACATGCACTGGGTACAGTCAGAAGCATGGGAGGGTGAGAGAATTCACCAGAACCAGAGCGGGGAGCAGAGCAGGCAGAAGGACCGAAGTACACTGCTGAGGGGAGCAGCGGGCGGCAGGAGAGGTCTGCGCGCCATGTGGGACCCTCCTCTGGTGGCCGGGGAGCAGCCGGGGATAGAACCGGTGCTGCAGAGGCCGCAGGCAGCTTCGCAACCCAGCACTCAACCACTGCACCACCAGGGAGGCCCGTCTGCCCTTCTTTAGATGTGTCCGAGAACTGTAAGTAATACTGAAAAAACTATTCTACCACCAGATAAAGTACAAGCAGAGAGTACTATTATCTTCCACAACCTGCATACTCACTTTCATGAATATATTGTAAAATCATGTTATTATTTTTACTAGACAAGAAGCACACTTAGATTATACTGGGCCTATTTAACTTACGTGACAACACCTTAGGCAACCATTATAGTACATTGAGATCATTCTAGTCTTGGACCGGTTATCTATCATATTAGCTCGTCTCTCTGGCTTGATAATAGTTTGGGAAATGAGCTGATTTTCACCTCAGTTCTACATACAATGTTTTCCCACAGGAACGGATTATGTTTTATTCTTTGCCAGTTACTATGTAGTGAAACATTATGCAAAATACACATATTCAACATTTTCATGTTTAAGCAACTCTCATCATTCTATTCTATTATCCCAAACATATTCATCAGATTGCCCTGTTCAGGATTAAATTATATTACTGTATGTAATTTTTCCCCAATGATGTCCTCCTTAAAATGATATTTAATATTCCTTGATAGCATGAATCATTAGTTCTATCAAGGAATATTAAATTTTAAAATTTAATTTTAGTATTACATCACTACTTTTACATATTTTGTATTAGACTACACATAGTGATGAATCAAAATTCCATTAACTGAGCGACTATGTTTAAGTGATACTTTTTCAATTAAATATTTCGTTAATTCACAGACACCATCATCATGCCTATCTTAGAATAAAAAAGGTTATTTTTAATGGTGATTACAGGAGGAGAAAAAAAGATGACTTTCATATATGCAGTGTTCTGTTCTTATCCCCGAGGATACACTTTCTCAGTGCTGGGTTCCTACTTCTGAGTGGGCATGGTGCAACCATAACCTTCTTTAGGCAACTACTGTCTGGTCACAGGAGCTGCTAAAAGCTGCAATTGCCTGTGAGTTTATGGTCCCCAGGATAATCCTATAGCCAATGCCTGTGTGGTGTAGGTGTCTGAAAACCCATTTTCATTGTTTCCAATAGGACAAAAACTGATGTAACTTTGTCTCCAGAGAACTCTATGTGATCAAGTTAAGAGTGGGACTTTGACTTCAATTTTACAATTATTTGGGATGACTGATTCTCTCTTCTGCCTCCCCTCTCTCCTTACTTGATATTTGTCCTGAGAGCACTAATTTAATGGATCATATGTCCATGAATCCTGATCTCAAAGTCAGTTTATGTATCAATTACCACCATCTAATTTTAGAATATTTTTATTACCTATAAATGAAGGCCCACATATATTAGCAGTCACTCCCCATTTTATCTTTCCTCAAGACCCTAGAAATCACTAGTCTACCTTCTGTTTCTGAGAATTTGCCTAGTCTCAACATTCAATAATTAGTATCTGTGGATAAAATGTTGATTTCACGTGAAAGTCCCTTCCTCATCCTTTCATTGAATATAATATAAAATATATACATGTTTTAGAGGTTTAAAGCCTTCTAGAAGGGTTCCTCCAAGCAGCTAGGTATGTGGCTTTCCAGGTTGACAATTACTGAGCCAGGTTCCCAAACTGAAAAGCACAGTGTAAGACAGTGTTTGTGAAGGACTGTTCTTAATTCTTTCAATATTTAATAGAATTCACTAATGAAACCCGCTGGGACAGAATTTTTCCTTGTGGGAAGATTTAAAAAAATAATTATTCAATATTTTCACTTGCTATAAGAATGTTCAGGTTTTCTATTTCTTCTTCAATTTTGATAGTTTGCATCTTTCTAGGAAATTTCTAGTTTCACCTAAACTATCTAATCCATTGGTATACAACTTATTATTCCCTTTTCTTTGTATTTGCACTTAATTTGCCCTTCTTTTTTCTAGTTTCTTAAAGTAGAAGGTGAGACTACTGATGTGAAATCTTTCATCTTGTTTAATATAAGCACTTCAAATTCCCTTCTAAAACACTGATTTGGCTTAATTCCGTAAATTTTTATATGGCGTGCCTTCATTTTCCTTCATCTCAAAGTACTTTCTGATTTAGCTATGATTTCCTCCTTGACCCACTGGTTACTTGGAAGTATACGGTTTAATTTTGACACATTTGTGAATTTTTTTAAATTTCCTTCTGTTGTTGATTTTTAATTTATGTCAGAGACCATATTTTCTATCATTTCAATCATTTTTAAGACATATAACGGCTTGTTTTGTAGTCCAGTATAAAATTATCCTAGAGAATTTCCATTTGTGCTTGAAATGTGTTTTCTGCAACTAGGTGATATGTTCTATGGATGTATATATTAAAACTGCTTGATTGATCATGTTGATTTCAAGTCTTCCATATCCTGAGAGATTTTCTATCTAGAAAGGCACTCCATCATCAACAGGGAGGTATTGAAATTATTATTTTTTAATTATCTACTAACCATATGTTTGAAATATCTATATGCAAGTATTAGTATAACCACTGCACTTTTCTTATAGCTGCTAACTACATGGCAAAGCATTTTTCCATCCTTTAATTTTAACACACTCATAACTTTGAATCTAAAGTATGTATACTGTAAACAGCATACACTTGGATTTTGTTTTTTTAATCAATCCTGACATTTTTTTGTCTTTTGACTGAGTTTAGTCCACTCACATGTAGTGTTATTACTGAAACTTTGAGTTACAGCTGCATATGTTTTGGGTATGATTCATGTCCTTTTTTTTTTCTTATACAAGAGCTGGGGTACAGGCCAGAGGCGTGGGAGGGTGAGAGGATTCACCAGAGACAGAGCAGGGAGCAGAACAGGCGGACTGACCAAAGTACACTGCTGAGGGGAGCAGCAGGCAAGGCAGGAGAGGTCTGCCCCGCCACGATTCATGTCTGTTTTGTTGTTTATTTCTTTGTTATTTCATCCTTCTGTATTAAATGGATTCTTTCTGTTATACCATATTACTTCCACAATGGTGTTTAGTTGGATTTTTTAGTTATTTTCTTATCAAGTGCTCTCAGAATTAAAATACTTATCTAAGCCTAGCATCTACGCCAGATTTATATACTAACTTAATTTCAATATGTTATGACAACGTTCCATTCCTTTGCTTTACTGTCACATAGAATTATCTGTTATAAACCCAACAATCTAGTGTTATAATTGTTATTTTCAAAATCTTATCTCTTTAAGAGATGTTAAGAAATGAAAATCCATTCATAAGTTTTTTTTTAAATTTTTTATTCCATCACCATTTCTGGTTCTCATCTTTTCTTCCTCTGGCTTTAATTTACTACTACACAGTGTCATTTCCTTACTCTAAATCCTACTGCCCTGATTTGTGATGTCATGTATAAAATATCTCTGTATGCTAGTAGCCCAACTACATAACTTTATATGACAGTAGAGTAATAAAACTCCAGAGTTCTGATTAATTTCTTTGAAAGAATGAAAACTGACTCAAGTTTCACGATCACAAAGTAAGTTTCACTCACCTTTATTTCAATTTTCTCATGATGCTGTTTTGGATGATTTGTATTTATTTCTGTCACTAGAAAAAGGATGCTTCTATGTAACACAAGGTTAAGAACTAGAGATTCCTATAGCGACACTGGCATCATTTAGAGCTTTACTACTTCTCTGACCATCACACACACAAAAAAATCTCTACAATTTTGGTGAACCAAATGAAATTGCCAGTATTTATAATGCTTAATCTGCTGGAAACTTCATAAGGTTTAGTCTATAGATATCTGCATCCCTCAATCTAATTTATACACAAACTACATATGCATATTTATATATATACACACACACCCCACCATATGCATTTCTCCACACTCACATAGCCATTATTACCTTAGTGTTACTTGATTATTCTCCACACTACTGTATTCTAGGAATGAAGATGCTAAGAGGGTTAAAACCAACACAAAAAAATCTAAATTAGAAAAAGAAAAGTCGGTCAAGTAATAAATGTCCAAGGCAGAGAATAAACAATAAAACAGAAATTATATCATTACAAGCCATAATTTTGAATGGCATGGTGACCACACATAACTTTTAAATAAGGTGTGTAAAGTCTTATCACTGATCTCT